TAATTAAGCAAGGAAGTTACCTCAAATTTTTGTACTATTTGTTTTTATTATCATGCACTTCTTTTGATGTTCCAGGAGTTAACCTCTTAATCCACAGACTCTGTGTGTTGTGTTCTGAACATTTTGGGATGTCTGGATAATTTGGATAATTGGTCAGGATGTTGCTGTCGCTCATGTTAAACTTTATGCCATGACTTCAAGTTCAAAGATCAGTATTAAGGTAAAATACTTCATAAAGCTTTTTTAAAACTCTACACTCGTGATTACGCAATACCTAGTTATTCCAGTTTCTCATGGCGGTAAATTGCACTATTTGTATTTTCTTACAACGAAATTACTCCTAAACATCTTTATCTTTGTCAACTTCAAACAAATACAAATTTCAGTTGAAGTTACATCAAGAGAAAGCATATTTTAAAGGTCAAGAAAAGGTACAGCAATTACCGCCTCAAAAATGCTTGCCTCCTTCACACAGCAGCACACATGCAGTTTTCTGTGCAGGCTGTTATCACACAGGGAAACATCAGCACTGTGAACTACAGATGCTCAGCTGCAAATACCACAACTTACATTTTTTGGAGAGAATAATAAAGAATGAGGTTAATTCTGACATTAAGAAACATGGTTGACACTTTTGTTTCATAACTGTACTACAGAATTTGAGAAGGCCAGTGACAAAGAACGGAAAGAGTATCTAAACAAGAAATGTAACTTTATGCACAGACTCTACAGGAAGGAAGACAAGAATAATATAGAAAGATAAGAAAAAGTTTTTAATACCTATGCAGGAGATTAAAATTAGTTCAGGTACTCCAACAGCTCAGTTAATAGCACCGGCTGAGGTGTAATATATCACAATGACCTCCAACTACTTCAATAGTCTTGAAAAACCTAATTCACACCTGTGCATGAAAATACATGTGTGCGCATAAATACATATATGGCATGTATACACATATACACAAAGATATACATATACACATACATATATTATACACCTCCAATATTGCTTTTATAATTATTTTCCTGGTAACAGAAGTCTGCAACTGCCATTAAATGGAAATAAACTATAGCAAGGAAGAGCACTTAAGCTCTTTAAAAGGGCATGGTCAACCCCCTTAGGCCCAAAATGCTCTTTTTGCATTAACATAGTGGTTTTAATTAAAAGCTAGGCAAAGAATCAGTTTGATTTTCAGTACAACACTGCATCCGTCCATGGTGAGTGCCTAATTTCCGTATTTCTCTCCTCTGCACAATATGCAAGTCCTTGGTTTTTTTAAACTGTTGCCCTGGGGAATCGAAAAGAGTCTATAAGAGGGGCCATGTGCCCTTTAGAAAGTATACTAGCAACTAAGCAAAAAAGCCATAGTAAATTGGAAGATGTTTAATCAAACCCATTCTGATTCATGAAACTTGAACGGTTAAGGGGGCAATACTTCCTTACAAGAACATGGAAAGAAAAGTTATCCAAAGCTTGTAATAGTAACCTAAGAGCTAAGTGAAATATCATAGCTTGCAAAAAGTTCACATTACAATGAATAGATAAAATCAACTTTTATGGCATAATCTATAATAAACACTCAAACAGATGGCTAAAAACTTTGGGGCTTAGACCCATATGTGATAATGACTAATGTTACTGTTGCAATTTAAGACGAACAAAGAAACCCATTAAAAAATTTAAAAATCCATTCAATTTCAGAACTGATTCTCTTCTAATCATTAATTTTCAGAACTTCTATTAAATCCATCAATGTAATTCTTACATGAACACCTTCAAATAGGTATCTTGACTGTGCACATCTGAATCTTAAGTGACCTATCTATTCATTATAATGAAGATAAATCTATGACAAATTCAAGATGATCTGCATAAAAGCTTCCACTGGAACTGTCTTTTTATCCAGGTTTTGAGCTCAGCTGGATATCTAGAATCAAC